AAAGTGAAATTTGAATATCAGACACTTAGGTGCAAGATTATGCCAAAATTCCATGTTTTCCGTCCCGTTTTTGCTCATTTCTCGGAGGCAAAATGAGCGAGAACGCTCATTTCTACATCATTCTAGAGAGAAATAAATGGCCTTTTTAGAAAGTGAACCATCGATAAGGAAATGTTGGCAGTTTTCTGTTTCTCAAGTTTCTCAAGAACCATTCGAGCCAGAGAATTCGTTTTGGCATCGTTGGATAGATAATTGAATGGGGGGGGCATGACCCCCATAACCCCCCCCCTGGATCCGCCCTTGAATAGTTAGTGGTTTAGTAGAGTAAAACCATTTAAACTAAAATCAACTAAATGCCTGAAAAACTCGATTTTAATATAAATGAACAGATCGCAGAATAACAATGCAAAGGGGTGATAAAATAATTTATGCTTGATCGTGCTACTTTTAAGGGTATTTTTTGCAAATAGACCATTTCTTTATCGAAGAAACACTGCGTATTGATTTTCTCGAAAATGTTTTACGGTCGTTTTGAAACGTTCACATTACCGCGATTGCATCGGCATAATTTTTGCGTGATAGAACGCCATATGCACCCCATTCTTGAGCCGTTTGGTGAAATAATTTGTTGCGTGCTGCAGTCAGACTTCAACCGAATTGAAGTTGTTTAATAGTAATCTCGACTGCCCTTTATCCCCGTAACTAAAGAGTTACCTTAACCTGAGGTTTAAGCTAAATTAACACGAGCTTTTTTAGGTTTTTTTCGGAAAGAAAACGATTTTTTTAATAAATAGGCAATTTCGAAAATCTGTTGCCATTTTTCCGAAAATAGGCATAAAAATGTTTTCAATAACACTCGAGCGTATGCAATTTTCACAAAAATCTTCAGTTTTCTCTTTTTTTCTCATCAAAATTATAGGAACTTGTGTGGACACACACTGGTGCAGAAAAAAAATTGTATAGTATAAGTAGGTTTTTCATGCAACTTGTATTTACATAAATTGCCAGAAAAGCCAATTTTTGGCAGTAATAAATCTATTTCTGAGTCAACTGAAAGTTGACTAACCGTTGCAACCATCACAGAATCCGCGATTGAAAATTACAGATAAAAATTCGGTGTTTCTTCAGTCTATCTAATCATAAATTGACTGAATATTTGGACCGATCACAAATTAATTTGCAATTTTTCATCTGCATTTTTGCGCGAAAAATAGGACCATTTTCTCTTACCAAAATGAACTGTTAGTGATTAGTTTCATATACAATACAACGTCTTTGAAATATGCAGATAAATTTAAATTGTTCGCATGCCACAAAAGGCCATTTTTGAACT